TCGCAAACTTTGCATTTTGGGTTGTCGTGGTTCATCTTCATCATTGGAAATTTCTGAGTCTGTTGGTGCACTTATTGGTGCAGCGACTGATGATTCTCCAACTTCTATATTGACTTCTGTCAAATTGTTCTAGTCTCATTCGCTTCCTTCATTTACTCGCACATCGCGACTCACTATCACCATCTTGCTAATCGGGTCAAGTAGTTTCTATCCTTTTGTCTTCTCATCATATCCAATAAAGATATACCTTTTGCTTTTGTCTTCGAGCTTCGTTCTTTGTTGGTCCAGTATGTGAGCACAAGCCACACTATCGAACACCTTGAGATGAGAAATTGTAGGCTTTTGTTCGCTCCAAGCCTCTTGGGGTGTTTGATCCTCTAACTTTGCATGTGACCATCGATTATGTATGTAGATGGCGCATTGCACGGTTTCTGCCCAAAATTCCTTCAGCATCCTTTTGCTCTTAAGCATTGAGCGAACCATGTCGAGCATGGTCCAGTTCTTTCTGTCAGCCACACCATTTTGCTGAGGGGTGTACAGTGCAGTTAGAAATCACCTTATGCCTTGCTCCTCGCAGTACTCAATGAAAGTCGTCGAAGTATACTCGCCACCTCTATCGGATCGTACAGCTTTGATGTGTCTACCAGTTTTTTTCTCCACCATTACTTTCAACTTTTTAAACACCTCGAATGCCTCGAATTTTTCTTTCAGAAAGTAAGCCCAAGTTTTCTGTGAGTAATCATCGATAAAGGAAATAAAATACCTCTTTCCGCTGAAGAACTCGGGGTTAATTAGTCCACGTATATCTGTATGGATCAACTCAAGAGGTTGTTTAACCCAAAATTAAGCATTCTTTTGAATTGAGGTTCTCGCATGCTTGCTGAGCACGCATTCTTCACAAAATTTTCCTTCAAAGTCCATGTTTGGTAGCCTATGTACCATATTCTTCTTCGCTAACTCCTTTAGGCCGCCATGATGTAGGTGACCAAAGCGGAGATGCCAGAGTGATGTTTTGTCTTCTACGTCGACTCTCAAACACTTTTCTCGTATGCTTCTTAAGTTCAATTTGTACATTCGATTTCTTCCTATCTCAACTAAAACAACCAAACGCTCTTTCTTATCCTTCAGGTGTAGCAGGCGGTCCTTTAGGAAATCAAGTAACCTTTCTCTATGAGTTGCCCCATACTCAATATGTTGGTCTTGAGGTCTGATACGTAATAGACATTTTCGATTGACCCCATCACACCATCCTTTTGCAAGAAGTGTATCGTACCTCGACCTTTTACCTCGACCTTCGACGCATCTCCAAATGACACATGACCATCTTCAATCTTTTGCATTTCTTTGAATAGGTGCTCGTGACCACACATATGGTTGTTTGCCCCTAAGTCGAGGTACCACAGAGTGTCGTTATTGAAGTTCTCTTCATCTTGAGCCATCAAGAGAAGACCTTCATCTGTTACGTCTTCCACGGCTAGGTTGGTTGTTCCTTCCACCCTTTTTTCGGCTCAACATGCTTTTGCAACATGCCCCATTCTACCACAATTGTAACATTTTTCGGAGTTACAATCATTCGCATAATGACCATATTTTTTACCTTTATAGCACTGAATGTTTGATCGGCCACCTCTTCCTCGACTGCGTCCTCTTCCACGCCAATTTTCTTGGCTCGATAGTCTCTTCTCATTATAGATTTTTTTCGTAACTGTTACCTTGACCACCTTGACCATTCCCGCGACTTCCACGACCTCTACCTCAAAAATTTTGAGAGTACAGTGCCTTTTCATACTTTATCGATGCCTTCATCTGAAGCACTTGATCGAGTGGCTCCTCTTTCTTTTTCTTGCATTGCTCGTGTGCCTCGAGAGAACCGGCAAGCTCATCGACTATGAACTTCGTCAGGTCCTTTGACTCTTCTATGGCACATAAGATATTCTCGAAGTTTTCTGTTAACGACCTCCAGATTTTCTCCACAACCCGTGTCTCGGGTAACATTTCTCCATTTTGATTTAGCTGATTCGCCACAGTTTATACACGTGTGATGTAGTTAGATACATTTTTTGACTTCTTCATCTTCATGCTCTCCAACTCGCCACACAGAGTTTGGAGACACACCTGCTTGACTCGATCGGTTCCTTTGAACACTTTTTCTAGAGTGTCTCACGTTTTATATGAAGTAGTTGCCCTTGCAATCTTCTCAAAACCCGACTCGTCAACAGCCCGGAACAACATGTATAATGCTGCCTTATCCTTTCACCGTAATTCTTTTAGCACCTTGTTTTGTGCCGCCATATAACCCGTGGTATCCTTTGGTTCTTCGAAACCTTCTTCGACCACCTCCCATTCGTCTTGCGAACTGAGAAGAGCTTTCATTTGAATGCTTCAATTCTCGTACTTCATCTTTGTCAATTGTGGTAGCGACATTTGTCCCATCATGTTCGCCATCGGCTATGATACCAATTTGTTGAAATAAAATTCGCTCTAATACCAATTTGTAGAAAATAACAATCCGCTCTGATACCAATTTGTAGAAATAAGCGCTCGCTATGAAACTAACTTGTTAAAATAACATTCACGAGGCTATGAAGGAGATGTCGAGAGAGGAGAGACAAGTAGACAAAGAAATTCTGAAATGCCCTTTTTCTATTACACTGTATTAACTCTTGCTATTCTCTTGCTCTTTTTAGTTTCCTTTTTACAATGGAAAACCTATTAATTTATAAATTTTTTAAAACCTAAAAATGGTCATAACTATCCCACATTTTCTCCCCCATAAACTCCTCCTTTCGTAAAATACGTCTGGCTTTTTTACTGTAGGCTTCTTGTTGTACCATACCTCATGTGGTGTCTTCCCGTCGAGACATCACATTGGCGACCAGTTGACGAGGTAGATGGCTGTCATGGCTGCCTTTCCCTAAAACCTCCCGAGCATCCCGATCGTCATCAGCAATAATGTTGTCGTCCCGATGATGGTTTGGTTTTCGCGCTCCACCACCGCGTTCTGCTAGGGGGCATCATTAGATGCCGCTGTATGCCTAGCTCGTTACAGTACTTGCCGAGCTCGTCATAGTACTTGCCAAAGCCCACCGAGGTGAATTCTTCACCTCGGTCTGTGTGCAGCACTCGCATCTTCTTCCCGAATTTGACATCTGCGCGCACTTAAATTGGTTTAATTGCCTCTACCGCCTTACTCTTCGCTTGCAGCAGAATCAGCCCATGAAGCGGCTAATGTCATCAACCAGCAGGAGAAAGAGAGTCATGCCCCCTGGGGACGCCGGCTTAATAGGCCCGTAGAATCGCCGTGTACTAGCTCCAATGGCTCACTAGCGCAGTAGGATGTCTGAGACAAAAAAGGGGTGCGCTTCTGCTTGCCAATGAGACACTCGTCACACAGCCTATTCACGCCTTCGATTACCAGTAAACCATACACCATCTGCTCCTTGTGTAATTTATGTAGAGTAAGAAAACTCAAGTGCCCGTACCTTGTGTGCCACCTCCAAGCAGATTCTCTGGTCCTGGCCGAGAGGCTGACCGGCTGTTCTATCTTCAACCCCAGGATGTAGAGGCGGTTCGCCGTGAGGAGTCGTCATCGATCATCCCAGATCTTGAGCAGCCCGCGCTCAATAAAAATGTAGCAGTCGGCTTCATCGAGCTAATCCAGGCTCACAAGGTTTTAGCCTTGAGCCTCGGGATGAAGTAGATGTCGATCAGCTTGTGGTGCTTGCCTCCCTTGCCGACGAATAAGATGGTGTCGCGCCCTTCGATTTCGACGATGAAGCCGTCACCAAACTTCACCGTCCCATAAATCCCTAAGTCGAGCTTGAAGAATGCAGACCTGGCCTTAGTCATGTGGTTTGTTGTCCCTGTGTTGAGGACCCATCGACGATGCTCGTGCTGCTTGCCCTTTTCGCCGATCTGAGCGAACACTTACTCTTCCTTCAGCTGAATCAGCTCCCCAACCGGTGCCTTAGGTACGCCACTGGAGCCCTTCTTCAGAACCTATCGAACCCTCATCGACGAGGCTCACTGGAGCAGCGCTGCCGTTGGTTGCTTTCGTGGATTTGGAATCGAAATTGGGGAAGACACTACTTCTTGCCACCTTTCCGTCGGAGGACTAGTTACTCTCGTCAGAGTTATCGCGGAGCTTCAGGCATGCAAGTCATTCCTCCTCAGTGAGGAGAAGACAACCCTACTTGTCGACAGCTGAAGCAACATTCTTCTTCCTCTGCTCGACGTAATCCGTCCTTAAAGCGGATCTCCAAGAACTCCTTCCGCAAATGCTCGATGTTGGACTCCCGATCTCACTGCACACCAACCCGACGGGACTTGATCCCCACCCAGGCTGATTGCACGGTTCGCTTGGTGGAGAGAGACACCAGCATCTCCTGTAGGTTGACGCGTATCAACAAAGCCTACTTGACGTGTGCATTTTTTGTGCTTTGATGCATTTTCTTCTAACTCATAATTCTACCTTAAACATGGCCCAAATGGCCAGTTAAAAATATGCTACTCCATTGGACGTGTATGCATCAAATTGTCAAGAAAAGATTCAACTAACTAATTTAAGAAAAAACGTGAATAAACTAAATAAAGAAAACCACAGGCTTTTATCTAATAGATTGTCAGATGAACAGTCATAAAGTAATGTGTAGACCCTCTGGGCTTTGCTATTACCCATGACCTGGGTCTCTGCGAAATGCGTTAACCTGATGCTATAGGCACACTGTTGGCTAGCAATGTGAGTCAATCTGATTAAACCACCACTTTTGTCCTACTGCGGCTATCAATGCGAGCGACCCTTGATGTTTCCCGACTATAGCTCTCTCCATAGCCTTAGCTATTCTCAAGATGGCAACGTATGATAGATGTTAGGGTCTCAACAGTACAATGAATCTTCTCTTCCAAACCTAGGACGAACCTTTGCGCCAACTTCATCATCATGTCAACCAGTTCAGAGGCAAATCACTTCAATCTCATGAATTATCTACTGTAGGCTGTGACGAAGCGTCCATTATGTGTTAGTTAGGTAAATTCTTGGTTTCTTCAAAGTTGAGCTACCTTCGAGTAATATTCCTACTGAAAGGCCTCTTTGAATTGCGACCATTGTATCACCCCTCCGACAGGGTTAAGAATCTCTTGAGTTATTAAGAAAATTGATTTAAGATATAAGGTTAGTTGGGAATATATTTTATAGAGCTGTAATCCGTTAGGAATTTGTTGATAGTATATTTTATATTATTTCCATTAGTTGGTTATTAGTATATTCTCTTTTATTTTATTTGTAGGAGTTAGTTGGTAGCTTGTATCTTATCTAAAGTTGTGAATATTAATGAAGATTAGACTTTCAATCCCACTTTTCTTTCTCATTCTTAACACGGTACCAGAGCAAAAGAAGAGGAAGAACAAAATAAAAGTGACTTAGATCGGAATAGATGACGACGGATGAATTGGGACGACCTTCCACAAGATATATCAGTCCTTTTAAGGCTACATCTCAAAAGTTTTAATTTTTTGTCTCTACAGCGATTGTCCCAGATTGAACACCGCAAATCATCAATAAAATCAAGAGCATATTCATTGTCAAAATGTTTGTGGCAAGCTATCCAAATTCCGTTACCAACACGTAGCTTCCTAATCTCAATCTGGGTTTTGAATTGGTTACAAATATTCTCAATCATTCTCCTAGACTGAGAACTATGGTTGACAAACTGTTCTCGATCGTCCAAAATCAAGACTATGTTATAAGCATCTTCAAATTTCTCACCAAAACTCAAAGATGGCTTGCTCAAGATGTTCGTATTTTCTTTCACAACATCTTTACCGGATTTAATGATGGAATGATTAGATGAGTAAAATCTCAAGTTAAAAAGTTCTCTCTCGATTATCGCTAACAACTATCTTGGGCACATGCCCCTCATTAGAAGAACCTGTCGACCTATTTTCCTTTCCAATTGCTTCTACTTGACCGTCAACAAGATCTCATGAACGCGACATAAGACCGCTGATGAAAGTGATGAGATATCCTTATTCGATTTATCCTCTTAAACTTCTTGAAAGGAATCAGGAACTTGATGCTTAGAGTAGCCCATGCGCATAAACCTCTCAAGTGATTCAAGGGGAACATCGATCTTCGTGTTCTTAAATATTAAAATTTCCTTTTTGGTGAAATCAGTCAAATCCAGCTTCAAAATTTCGGACGTTGATTTAACACATCCTTATTACATTCACCATTCTGATCATACACGATTTTCACTCGTTCCAATCAAATTAAATATAAATGAGACAAATTACCAATACTGTAGTAAATCATTGTAGTCTATTTCTAGGTTTTGCATCTTTCTATCAAATTCAATTATTTTTTGCAAGTCTAAAATGAAAACCCATGTGTGATCATCTCAGTTTTGCATATTCTTGAGAAATTCAATTATTTCTTGGAAGTCTAAAAAATAAATCAATGTGTACAGATCATCAACAAATACTTGCTTAGAGTTAACTTGGCAGACGTTTCTACTTTTGTTTCTCATTCTTAACACAAATATCTACCCACCATATCTCTCTCTTGTTTCTGCAGTATGAATGAAGCCCAAGGTACCTTCTAATCATCAAGGCCGTTTATCAACCAAAAGATTATTTCCATCGATGACAACCATAGTTGTGCAACCATTAGATCCTCTAAGGTTAAAGACGCAAGAGTCCTACCTCTCGAAGTCTCGCAAGTATCTGGCCTCTCGCGCTGACAACGAACGGTTGGCCTACCTGGTGGCAATTATTGTTTGCTTCATAGCCTCGAATGACTCACATATCAAGGTAGTTTTGGGGTCTACTTCAACTTGAGGCATCGCTTGGGTGGCGCTATCTCTACCCTTGCCTCTTCCTCTTGCACGGGGTCGTCTTTTAGACAGCATGATCTATAACCAACACATAATATTTTACCTAAGTCTATAGCCCTTAACACATGCATATAACATACACATCATAGTATACGACTCTTAGGATACAATCCAATATATAATTATACCATACATAACATTGCATTGCACACATGAAGCAATCATAAGCAACAGGCATACCTAACGGCAACCGTGTGGCGGAATGGAACTATAGGAGCATGCTAAGCCTACGTCGAAGGCTAGTCATAGAATCTATAACCTAGAGCTCTGTTACTAACTATAACAACTCTATTTTTACTACTGAAATAAAGTCTCTACTACATACATGACATGACTATTAAGTGAGAAAAAAATCATTTAAAATATTTCATAACAACGTAAAAGAATTATATGTTCATAATAAAGTCACTAAAACAATATGATGAAAAAAAAACATGAATTTAAAATAAAACAAGAAAATAAAGCATTGTCGTGATCTAACATAAGGGGTATGAAAGAAAAATAACATGAATGCAACTACCCTAACTTCAGTCCCATAGTCGTCACTGCGACATTGTCGTCCATGCAGAGGTACCTTACCTTTACCTGAAAAATAAGAGTAAGTAACACGTGGCCTAAGTATTTTAAAAAATGCACAATATGTAACCCTACTACTAAAGTCAGAAATTGCAATCATATGCAATAATATTTGGGATCTATCCTTTCATAAAACATAATTTCATGGCCTTAGTCTAAACTTTTAGTTCAGACATAATTGGATGTATAATACTTCTCTACACACGATTCACGTATGTGCATATGGATCGAAGGCAAACTCATATACGTACCCCCTGAAACTGGCCTTCTATTAGCGTACACTCACGTTGCCGAGTTACCACAGAGGGAGGTGAGTGCACATAGCATCATGGTGTACATAATATCGTATCATAACATCGTAGTATATGCATTCGTACTCTACATAACAAAGAAGTATCCCAATGCATGTAAACATGCAATATGCATGAAGTCTCATCATTCAAAATCATGACATGTATCTGTTGTGCAAGTTATATCTTCATTTATTTCATACGTAACATAATCATTTTTTATCGTTTCATAATATAGTATATGACATGGTATCACACTTTCCTAACATAACACAATCACCAATGACATAATGTGTCAACAAGATATTCCATTACATACCTCATAATTACCACATAACATAACATAATTAACAAACATTAAATAATCACAACGTACAACATGTGTAAGGGCCATATGGCATGCACCATTCATATTTCAAGCAATTCATCCAACCAAACCAGTAGTAAAGCCCCTTATTTGAGTAGCTTAAACTAGAGTCCTTAATTTATCTTTGGCGCTGGTCTAAATTTGTCTCTTGAAATTCAAGTCAACCTGTGGTTTCATGACACCATATTAAAACATGTTAAATGATGTAGCCTACCTATTACTCATATTTAACCCTCTAATTTAGCTTTCAATATTTTAATTTGGTAAAAAATATATATATATAGTCATACTCATCTCATCTCGAATGCTTTTCAAAATTCTAAAATCAGCTCCAAAAGGGTGAAAATGGTAGGTTATGGTCTAAACAATGTCGAATGAGCCCTAAAATAGGTAACCCGAGTTGAATTCATCAGAGGATCTACTGTCACACTAAGCCGAGCAACGACGACATTGAGCCGAGGATAGAAGGCATGGGTCATAGCTGGTATCAAGACAGGTGGTAGGATCAAATTCTGGCACACGCCCGTGGGTAGGAGTCGGACCAAGGTGTGAGTATCAGGTCGCCGCAACGGGTTATGGATGAGCTGGCCCTTGGGTCATTGGGATTGGGCTAAGGCTACTAGGCACATGGACTGGACGTGTCTAAGGAATGGCTGACAAATGCGTGCGCCACTAGATGTCACGGTTGTACTTATGCAAGATGTGTTGCCTGTGGTCAAATGTCGGATGTCTTGGTCATGATTGTCGACTTGTTTTCCATGGCCACATGCTCATTTCAAGCCCCTTTCACTTGTTTTCATGTTATACAGGTCTTTACTATTATTATTGTGTCACTACGGGGTTTATGACCGGTCACCAAAATCATGTCTACCACCGTCACGGCTAAAATGCCCCAAAATGTGAATAGTTGTCAATTCTTACTATTCGATTTATATGCTATCAAAATCGTTGTGGTTGCTCATTCACTTTTAGCTTGTAATATTGTTTTCTTTAAAATAGTATCCAACATATTTTCTCGCTCACATTTTCAAAAACATTTGTCTCAAACGTGACATGAGGCACAAGCATATGTCGATATTGTCCACGAAGTTCGAATCTCAAACAGTTAACTTGTTTACTGGGTTAGAAGAACTGCTGCACAATCGTTGTCCCACTGCTGTAAGAGTTCGAGTGTTAGACCAGGAACGTTTCTAACTGTTAGACTAGATGTTGAATAAGTGAAGGGAGGGATAATGAAAAAAGTACTAGTTTAGTTTCATGTACATGCGTGTACTTAACCATAATAATTGGTTAAGTACAAGTGAGTGTACTTATCCACAATAATTTAGATAGGTACAAACACTTGACCAAGTGCTTGTACTAACCACGCAGTGGTTGACCTAAATTCACGAAAAAAAAAAGCTTAAAATTGGCGGTTGACTACGTAGTGTTTTTGTTCATTGTCGAGGGAGAAAATGGATGTTCTGAAGTTATGGATAAAATGGAAAGTCAAAGTAAACGCAATAATGCATGATAAAGATATTTTAAAAGAGAAACAATAAAATAATGAGGAAAACATACTTAATATGCAAGTTTTGGTAGTTTATTACTAAAAAGGTGGTAGCAAACATGACTTAATGATTACACAAGTATTTTATAACTACCAAATGCAAGCATTTGACATTCACAAAGGTTTGTACTTTTAAGTCATGTTCGTATCGATTATGATAATGTACTAGATTTAAGTGATTTAGGATTTTAATCATCAACCGAGATAAAGAATTTTCTAACTTAGGTATAAATTTGAAAATAAAAAATTAAGATAGGTGGTATTAAAATTTTTAAAAATAAAAATTAAGATCCATCGTGTTAAAAGCTGTCTTAAATGATATATATATATATTTACAAATGGTCAATTATAAATTTGGTAGGTTATTAGGAGATTCCTTGTAAGAAAATGACCGAAAAAATGGTTCTGATAAACTGGAAAAATTTAAAACTAAGAATAGAGATTTTTGGCGAACCGGATAAAAAATTATTAATATCGAAGTCTATAAGATAAAATGGTGGGCGTTATTCCCTTTAGTGTGCGCTGGTCCGTAGTGCTGGGGTAAGTTCGCAGCTGACCTAGGATGTTTGCCCATAGTAGGCTTGTGGTATGGACTCGTATGGATGGGCTTTCAGGCCATTGGGCTTGGTGGATCTTACCATAACATTAGCCCCACTGGTGAGTCCATCATTGTTGTGATCTTACCATAACATTAGCCCCACTAGTGAGTCCATCAATGTTGTCAGGTTAGGTCTTCGATTCACATGGTTAGGATCGATATTAGTTGTTAGCTCTGATACTAATTGTTAAGATTGCTCAATAATGCATACACTCAATCAAGATGAACATAAAAAACAGGAGAGAGAAAATACAAGAAAGAATGTTGGCTAAAGGTTTTATTACTGATGACTTCAATACACGCATGTACAACAAGATAAAATACAGAGAAAAAAAAAACTTTTTGAGAGCGCTGTCTAATGGTATATATATGGTTTCAATTTACTAAATATAGATTCCAAACATTTAAACTTACTCGATATAATCTAACAAATATATGTCTATAAAATCTTTACTAAATATCTACCATATATATCTATATCAGATCTTTATGAAATATCTTCCAAATATATTTGTACCAAATCTATACATAATGGCTCTGTATTCCAACTCACATTCGATCGATTGTCGTGTGTGTGAGTAGGGGAGAGCAAATCTATTGTTTCTTTGGGTTGGCACCCCAATGTCACTAATTTTTGTTGAGTGGCAAGGCAAGTCATCTGGTTTGGTCGTCATTCAAGGCTTCATTTCCCCTTGTCGAATGAAAATGGAAGGACGTATTTCTCTGAGGCCACGGAGGGTGGGTCATCAAGAATCTCCTATCGGGACAGTATTTCAATGCACGTGACATGAAAAATGCATGAGGTATCATAGTGTCACAACTCGATTTTCGAAGTTGGAAACTCAAATTGTGACTAAAAAGACAAGAACCAAAAGCAAATAAAACATAAGTAAATAAAATAAAATATAAAATGTCGTCGAATTTAAATCAAAATAAAACAAACAACACCACAACCACAATTAAATACAAAACGAACTCCAGTTACAAAACAATACTGTTCAAATTCATTACAAAGGAAAACGAGTTTGAGATACAATGACAAAGCAAAAATACAAGGACTCAAAATATAAAACATGAATTGATGTTCTCGGACGACTCACTCTATGACTACGTAGCTCTTGAATGCTTCTTGCAGTCTACGAACACCTAAAAAAAGGACAAATTGGTGAGTATAAAATAACCAATAAGCAATCAACTTGTAGGCTCTCATCACATCATTAACCTAATAAATATCTACATACTATACTGGGGGCTCTAGAAAGTTGGGACCTAACCTATGTTGTTGTTTGAACATCTAGGAAGGTCTTAAAGTTCCATATAATACTATAGTTGCTCGCATATCCCATCTAGATTTGGTGGGTAATACCAAGAAATGATTATGAACCAAAAAAAAAAAAAAGAGCGTTTGTAGCTGCCCACCGTGTATGGTAGCGACAGGCGTATGGTGATAATAAAGCGAGATGATAAAATAGATGGGAAGGTGATAAGAATTACGGTGTTCCAAATGTTCCAATTGGACCTATTACACGATCTAAGATAAGGAAGATTCAACAAGCATTCATTGTTCATCTACAAAATTGGATAGGTTCGCTTCAACCATTATTTCATGTGTTGCAAGCTTTTTCGATTGAAAAATGACCATTTGAAACATCATAAGTGAATATTTGCACAGTTAAAATAGTAGATGAAGTGATAAATTGTTAGAAAACTTTATATATTATTTTTAATTTCATAATTCTTGTAATGGGTAAAAGGTGGGAAGTTATTTGTACAATTGACTTCTCTCTCGTGCAAATTAAAATGGACTCTCTTATGTGGAAATCAGAGGAAATTGGAAGGGACGGAGAGTAAATTATGACCACCAACTTCTTTGGCGTACCACAAATTATTATTTAAAAGACAAATTTTGGAAGATCAAAATTGAGATATCAAATTGAGACTTTTTACCTTTAGAAATTTGAGCATAATCTCTATCACTTCTATGTTTCAAGCAATTGTACGATTGCATCCAAGTTATTCAATCGCCTTGATCAAATTCGATGGTAGAGTAACTCAATTTAAAACAAGATTTCAAATCTTGCTCCAGATCTTAAGATAATTTAATTACAGCTCTTGGTGTACAAGTGTTATTTTTTTTTTGTTCAAAGATTTTTGTTTCAACAAGAAACTTGTATGGTTAAGTTCATAGTTTGTAAACAAAAACATATTCTATTTTCAATAAAGTTATTATTGTTGTTTATTTAGTAAATATTGTTATTGAATAGAGTAAACTTTACAATCATTAATCTAAATCTAATAAATTAAGAACACTCTGGCTATAGTATGATTACTTGAACTATATGTAGAGACATAAGAGTGGATCAAGTTCAAGTATATTGTCAAAATGATCTATAGTATGAGGATAAGGCTGAGTACCTTATTCTGGGAACACTATGGATGCGACCCACTTTTGTATATGATATAAACAATGTGATCACTAAATTGTACATGTGGAGACATGTGAGTGGGGACGTCTTATGCAATGAGTATTGCATAAGACTGGACCATGAAGAAAACCACTCTCACTTTATAATGTCGTTTACTGTTGAGACTGATTTTCTTTTAATTCGATAACCTAGGTAACTCGATTTTAATCCTGAGCTAACCATGAACTCCTGTTTATTCGAAATTATCCTTAGATTTGCATGGGTGAGAGTGGCTCTAGTTCGCCGACTCAATAGGCCTCCCATTTTAGGGGTAAGACTGGGTGAATGGCCGGGGACGTGGGGTGCAAGATGGAACTCACTCCTACCCACTTTTAGGGATAGAAGAGAGGTAGTTCCCTTAAGCACTGAACTCTAAGTCTTGAACAAGGGGCCCCACCCTCTCATTGGCCTAAGAGGAATTCGGTTTAATGGTTGGACCACAAACCAATTGTTCATTAGAGGATCAGTGAGACATAAGAAACAAGAAGTAACTTCAGGGGTAAAATGATAAATTGACCCAGCTCTAGTTACGAACAACCTGTGAAGGATCGACTTACTAATCATGGTTATATCAAATGGACAGAAATATATCTATAGTGAGGGGAGTGCAACAACTAGGCTATAGTGGAGTGTCTTAGTAGTTAACGAATGTTGGTTAACAAGGTTAATGAGTTTAACCGGTTAATCTTGGATCGTTGGAGCCCATGATCTATAGGTCCATCAGGTCCCTCTGCTAGCTCATATCGGACTAAACCATAGAACAGTGTGACGAGTGAGTTCGAAGTGTTCCAATTCAAATTATGGAATATGCGCTACATATATACGATATATTTGACCGCATTTTTGTTTTATTTACGAATTAAACAAAAGGAGAGAATCTAAGATATTTAAATAAGATTTAAATATCTTAATCAATTATGTGTTGGAATTGATTGGAATTGGCATTTGAATTAATATTAAATATTAATTAATTATTTAATATTACTTTAATTTAAAATTAATTATTCAAATTAATTGTTGAATTAAAATGAAAAAAAGTCAAAATGTTGACTTCATTTAATGGAAAAAATCCATTTTAGTGGAATTTTGAGGTGTCAAAATTTAGTTTAACCAAACTTGCATGCTTGCCAAATAAACTCCACAAGTTTGAGGGAAATTTAGTGGAGAAGACACTAGTAGTGGTTCGAAACCGGTTCGTGAGGAAAAAGAAATTTAAACTACAAAATGTTAGTATTCAAACTCATTAAGTTTTAATACTTATGAACATGCTAGTTATTTTGATGTTCTAAGAGTGCCTAAGATCCAAATTACTTCCACATGTGTTATGAGGTGGCTATGTGTTCACCGTCAAGCATTCAAACCCAGAACCATCAAAGATTCCTCAAGCAATCAAATGCATTGAGTTGTGGGGTTTGCCGAATGGGACTCGAGTAAGAGCGTGACAAAGGAACGGAAGACTGAGAGCATGGGATGGAGGAGATTGGAGCCATCGTTTGAGGTAAGCTCGGTTGCTTTCCTTAATAACTTTTGATGCTCATATATCTCTCAAATCTCAACCAAATCATGCAAATCTTAGCTCATTGAACTCAGCTTTAATAAGGCATCATCTTTGCTAAAGAGGGTAGGAGTTTTCGAGGATCGAACGCGATTTGGACGGGAGTATGAGCTGATGGATGCGCGGGTAAGTTTGAAAGAAACCCCATGAACTTTGAACACTCACAACTTACACATTTCTTAATGAAATAACGCAATCTTAGTGTCTATGGATTTAGCTGGAAGTGTACTACAACTTTGTTCAAGAACAAAAATTCATCCAAGGCCTAGAACGAGAGATACGAGGAGCAAAAGTAAACAGTAAGGAAAAAAAGAGGAAGTAAAAAGGAGGGTGGCATCAATGCATGTCAGCAGATGACGTCAGTGGGTGCAGCAAGATAAAATAAACATGTAGAAATTTTAGCCTAAATTGAGTTAATTTGGTGTACTAAAAAGTATGTTACATTTTAAGCTTTAATTTGAATGAAACTAAAAACATGTCTTTAGTATGATCATTAGCATGTTATAGATCAATAGCATGTTATAGGAAACATATTATCAAGATTTGAGCATGGAAGGAGTGGATTTGTTATATGTAAGAGCACGTTACATGTTATGATGCACGTTTTTCTAGAAAGACATGAGTTGCTCCAATAAGAGCAAAACTGAAATCATGACTAGGGGTTCACCAATAAGAGCACGTTAAATGTTATGCTTAGGTCACTATGTTGCGTCTCTGTTATATATGTATATGATTTTAGCGGTTATAAGAGAACGATTAGGGGTTCACCAACTAACCCTTAATCATAAACTTGACTCGATTGTGAGGGATCTAGATAACTATAAAACTGACTTATGATATTTTATGATTTCTGAATGTACCCTGTGGGGATTACTGGGAAGTTTGTCCGTTAGCTTTCTTGTAGTGAACATGTCACGAGCAGTAAAGGTCGATAGTTGTACCCAGAGTTGGTTGTCCTTAAGACTTATGATTATTGTTCATGCATGCAAGTTTAGCAATTATATGAAGACAGTTAGGAATTCGCCAACTAGCTTCTAATCGTAAATCTAACTCGATTATCAAGGGTCCGGATAACTATAGAACTGGTGTATGATATTTTATGACATGATTTGTGCTCTATAGAGATTATTAGGAAATTTGTCAGTTAGTTTTCCTTTAGTGATCTTATCACGAGGGACAAGGGTCCATAGGTGTACCTTAGAGTTGATTGAGCCTTAGCATACATGAATCCTATGAGGCTAATATCGGGGTCGTGCCTCAAGGGCCTAAAGTAAGATGATGAAAGAGACTAGCAAAAACGATTAACCAAGAGACCTACAAAACTTAAGAATATTTCGAGGGTTGGAGGTCCATATAGGACAAAGAACCAAGAAAATAAAATAAGTAAACCTAGGGGTAACCTAGGAAAAGCCTATACTTGGGAACGAAACCCAAACGAGAATAAGACACCAAACGAACTAAGATCAATCAAACTTAAGAACGAACTATGAACTACCAACAAGCTACTTATTGAGTATATTTTATATACTCGTTCATGCTTCTTCAATTTCCTTTTTATGTGGAGCTTGATGTAGCAGTCGAGGCGAAGGTGCATGTGGGATTTGGCTATAGGGAGTCCCGTCACACTTGAGTCTAGATTTCCTTTAGTACTTATCTTTAAATCTTGTATTTCATGTATTTTAAATAGTTTGATTTTGCAGTAGTGTATTTTAGTGGTCTTGGTTTATTTATTTATTTTGGTACAAAAAAAAATTATTGCTACTTTAATTGAATTTCAAAGTGGATGCACGTAGGTAAGTGTTTTGAATTTTTCACATTTTTACTTATTTCTACACCATTGTATATCAGTCCATGGCTTGAGTCCCTCAAAAAGTGAGTTGTAACATGGTGGTTAAGTCTGGCGCCATAAATCTGTTGAGTGACAAATTCCATCTCTGAGGTGAATTATTGTTCTGTTCTTTGACTTTAATATCTGGCTTTGCTTACGTAGTAAATGTCAAGTATCTTGGGTTGAGACACTATTTTATAAAAATGTTGGGGGCGCAGTATGGCGTGAGCTAATCTAAACATCAACCAAGAAAGGTTAGCTAGTAGACCTTCCCACAGGACCATAAAGACCAAAGTTTAGGGAATGTAATCCCCACGTGCTAGGCAGCTATTGGGTCAACCTATATGCTCCCACGACTCCCTTTTCAAGAATAGGTTCATCTCTAGCCATTTTCTCAAGGTTGAGGCACACACTACCCTAATCTTGAAGTAGATAGGGTAGTGAAGAGATTGATGACATCTTTCATACTAACTATAGTCTGGTGAGCTACCTTGGTTGTCATTGATGATCGTGGAGATTTACTAAGTTCTTACTAACATTTAGACGATTTAATTCTCAACTATCATTTCTAAGATGTTTAAGATTAACCTCCCGACTAATCCATACTCTAGGTGCATACAAATCCTTCGACTGAGGTATACATAATCCTTTGGTAGTCGTATAGTGAACAATTTTTTTTACAATGACCAATTCTTCACACAGCTCATAAGTTGAAGAAAAACACACACTCCCATTGGCTGCCTAACTGAGGGATGGTCGAGGCAAGTTCAATAATGCGCCTTTTCCAAATGATTAAAATTTTCCAACTTTCACTTATTAGTAGCAAAATTTAAAAAAAAAAAAAAAATCATTTATGAATATGAATGAACCTTATAAATCACTTCTAATGTTATGGTACTTTAGTCGATTCGAATCTGTGTTTCTGTAAAGTAGGTCAAGTGTTCATTTTAAGACAATCACAACCAAATATTATACTAGAATAATTCTTATACTTATAGTGTTTAGTTACCATCATTTTGGTCAAGTACATTATTAACCGTTTTAATTAGCCTTCCGTAGATTTTGACTCATCATTTTAGAGTTAGTAATTTTATCCCAACAAATGTGTGTTTAGTAGATTGAGTATTAGAAATAAAATTACAATCCTATCCATATCAAGAGTTCATCCCGATATTGATCCATGAAAGCAACTTGGGAAGGGGACGATCCAAAAGTGATCGTGAAGCCCCATATGAATCTCACGTTGTGAACCAATGATGAAAGTTGTAGGATATGTTGACATATTTTTTCCATTTATTATTTTGAAGATACTTTCTCTAATACATCTTCCAATAGAATGATCTAAAAGTTGCCATGACAAACATCTTCGATAAGGAGGATGATCTAAAAGCTGCCACGAGGCTCTTGCATGACTCTAAAGTTGTGATCAATGGTAAAAATTATAGAACATCTTTGTCGGATAATGAAAGTCCCACATCAACTAATTTAGGAAATGATATGTGTTTATAATCAAATAATATTCTCCCCATTGGCACGAGGCCTTTTGGGGAATCCCAAAGCAAAGTCACGAGGACTTATGCTCAAAGTGAACAATATCATATCATTCTGGAGAGTTGTGTTCGTTTAACTTGGTATCAGAGCCTAATTTAGAGAATGATCATAGATTTATAATCAAAGTGGTCTCATACCATTGTGGAGAGTCGTGTTCAATCTTGACCTAGGATCATAATTTCATGGTACGGTGGAAGAGATGAGTTCCTAGAATGAACCCAAGGACTCAATAAATATATACATTTTAAATGGATCCTATCATCCGAACTACCATGACCCTGTAACGAAGGGTGCTGCTTATGACGCGTACCCAACACGACACTCCAATGTCTGATTCCGAGCGCAAGGAAGCTCCTAATTCTTCAAGCACTGACACAAAGAAGACGCCCAGAGGTTCCATCAGTGGCGGAGACGTCAAGGATACGCCGGAGTATGAGAAACAGAGGCTTTCTAGAATCGCCGAGAACAGGAAGAGAATGGAAGCCCTTGGATTGGCCAAATTGGCGACCTCATTTATGGATTCTTCCAAGACTCTGAGGAAGATTGATAGAAAGGGGAAGCGTAAGTTCGATGAAGATTATAATCCTGGCGAGGGTTCTTCGAATTCTGAAGATGATGACTCGGAGGAAGGGGATGAAGGTTTTGGAAGTGGGAAAGTTTCTAGGTCTCGTGGAATGAAGGTAATCTCTCTCCATTTTCTGTCATTGTGTACTTCTACCATTGTACAAAAATTAATTTGGTGGTCGCTGCATTGTTCATGATTCAGCAATGGTCCTTAGGTTGATTCACTGGTAATTTCCTGTTGGGATCCTTAATTTTGGTTGTGTATATTATCTTAATTAAGTCGAATATTTAACAATTTGCCTGTTTCTATGTCTGTAATATCCATCAAAGATGGAGATAAATGCTGAGAGTATATATGTTTTTAAAAAGAAGACATTATTCATTGGTATGATGAAAAGATGAACTCAGTGTCACCTTTTATCTCAGTAATTAAGTCTGAGTGGAGAGTTGGCTTCATTGTTTCATTTTAGTGAAGTGGAAAATATAAGTCTTGGCCAAGGAGTTGAGGGAGCCTTTCTCCCTTCAGAATTGGGGAAGAACCTATTGATGTCAGAAGCTTTGGAAAAGAATTAGAGCTTGAAGGAGTTTTTTAGTTGTTTTGTTTTTTCTTTGAAAGAAAAAAAGTCGAACAAATTTTGGTTCAATTTTAAATGAAAAGAATGAGAAATAGATCAAAGGAGCGGGAGGGGGGATTGAAGAAGTAGATAAGAGGGCTTTCTGGGTTTGTGGAGGATACACATCTAGGTTTTTGGGAGTCTTCCATTGGCCTTTGTATTCTTTCTTTTGAGGTTTTTGGTGGATTACCAAATCAAGTATGCCAAAAACATTGTTCAGACCCACCAGCATGATTGTAACAAAGAAGTCTGGTTTGGTCTCTGTATTTAGATCAAAGAGTTTCTTTCTTTGGTTGGAAGGGATTGATGGAGAAGTACTAGCTCTCGTTCCCTTCCTACAAAGGAAAGTCGTATATCAAGTAGAGAAATGATGACTAGCGCTTTTTGTTTTCTCAAGATGGAACCAAGATTCTGTTTGTACCTCATTTGCATCCAATTTGGTAATCTCGGCCTACGAATGCCTCTTGTTTGAAAGCTTTTCAACCCATAATAGCTTGCAATAGTCAACTAACCAGGACACGGTTCCCCAGTGGAGGGTTAAGGAAAAATCATATTATCTTGTCCATATTTGATAATCCATGCTTAACTTTCTTCGTAATTTTCATCACCTCAATGGAGTAAGATTTCCTGTCAACAGAGATCGTGTGTTTTGAGTAGTTTCCAACCCATTGGAAAGAGGAGGGATCAGAAAGTAAGGAGGGAGCTTGCATTTTTGTGCAGGAAATTTCCTCGGTTATAGCTTATATGCTATTGCCTTTTTCTTTTTCTTTTTGATAAGAAACCAGAGGATAACATTAATAGCAAAAAAGGAAAAAACAACCTAAGGGTTGTAGAAAGAGAACCCCCTCATGAAGAGCTAATCACAAGAACACCTTCCAGTCATGGAGAAATATGTCACTGTCAATTGTATGCTGTATTATAACTTGAGTTGCTGAAATGGGGAACAATTTGATCTGAACTTATATTCTATCAAGAAATTGTGGTGTGGGCTAGTCTTGATGATTATCGCTTTTGCTGAAGAGTTCTGGCTCATGTACAGTCAAGTTCTTGCAATTTGACTCCAGATTCCTCAGTCTCAGGTAATTGACAGAGAACTAGCTGGCTGTGTTAAAAATTCCTAAAACAGTCGGGAGTGTTCTTTTGGGATTCAAGTCTTAACAGCATCAGCATTATGAAATGAATATAGCACAAAGGAGGAATGTCTTGTTTCATGCACCTTTTTTTCTTCTTTATGTCAATTATAAGGCAGAATGTTGAGGATGTTAACCATTTATGTTTACAATCTGAGTGGGCCTGTAGTTGTTAAAATAATTTATTTGGCTCTTATATGTGAATCAGGCGTCTCCTAGGGATATGGAGGCAACCTCTCAGGTACTTGGAGGCTTAAAGTTGGGAACGACAGGTCTTATTTTGTCACTTATTGAGTGTAAAGCTTTCCGTCGGTGTTTTTTCCTGGTGTAAAACAGTAGGATTTCTAAAAATTCCTTCAGTGAATGGATTGGTCAAATGGTTTGTTTCTAGCTCGACGCCTTCATACTACACTGTTCCCTTGGGTAAAAACGTGTGTTACTCATAGATAGATTATGAAGTCGAAGGGGAATTATTTTTGTACTTCTTTGACTAAACCATGGGCTATAGCTTATCTCCTTCCATTTTTTGCGTACTTTTTCTTTCATTTTATAGATGAAAGCCTTCTTCGTTTCCCAAAAAAAAAAAACCTACTTGTCGTTGGAAAACCACGTATTGTTTCTAGCTTCATTTCCAAGCAAAACCTTTTTTTTTTTAGTTAAATGGGGATATATATTATATTGGGGGCACTAAAAGAAGGTCAACTGTAGTCCAAACATGTATACTTTCTCTCATGGAGTTAATTGGTGGTATGAAACAAGGGCACAAATCTCTGTTTTTATTTATGTTATTGCATTTTGGTGTGTTTCATGCCTACAAGGAAGTTGTCCTGGCCAAAATATATTAAAAAGGAAAATATATCCTGCACGTTTTTTACGTACAAAGGTCCATCTATTTCAGCACATTCTAATTGGTGCAGTCTGAAAATTGTTCAAATTTTATTTCAGGGAAAGAACAGAGGTTCAAAAGCAAAAAGGAAATCTTCTGTCGAAAAATCAAATAACTTAAATGATGAAGATGATGATGCATTACAACAGGTAGATTCATAATATTCCATCGGTACTTTGTAATTCAAGACAGCACAAACAGGCTAACAATATCATATGCTTCCCAAGCAGGCGATCAAACTTTCACTACAGGATTCTGGTGAAACCTCTGATGCACAGATGCAAGGTCCTTTTGAAAATGTTAGAAGGAAAAATGTGAAGAATCAGGAAATGGGAGGAGGGATGAAGAGAAAAGGATTGGTAGCCTTTTTACTCATAACGTAGTATTATAGCCTTAGTGATCCTTTATTCATCTTTTCTCTTAATTCTTTTTCTTCACATCTGAACTGCAGTTCACTAGTCGGATGCAGATGAACGAGGATGAACTTATCATGAACTTCTATTGTTTTGATGGTATTTTATATATCTGGTATGATATTAATGCACTTTAAAGTAAGTTTTACTACTGACCTGGTGAACTTGGCTAATAGAATCATGGAAAGGGAGCATTACTGTAAGTGACCTGAAAAGAGTGGCAGCTGTTCATGATTTTACTTGGTCTGTCAAAGAATTAGAGGATATGATTAATTGCTTTGACAGTGATGGAGATGCCAAGGTTAGTTTCTTGGATTCACGCTCTCTTTTCATATTTCAATTCCATTCTCTCTTTATAAGATGAATTGTAATCTTCGTATAGTTTTCGAGTCTGAGATATATGTTCTCGATTGTTTCGTTCAAGATTCAAAATTTTTAACAATACCATCAAACTCAGCGGGGATAGGACATGACACATATTTAGTTGACTTGCTTAGAAAAAGACATCTTGACGTCAAAGACAATGATGGACATGAGAACCTTTGTATGTTTATATCTCAAACTACTGAAATATTTTTCTGAAGGAAAATTTTGTTACCAGTTGTGAATATTTGTGGCTTGTTTCCGCCGGTAAATATAGCTACTTTTATCTACCATCATGTCCAACCTATCTTGTTTGAATTAAGCTTTGTTTGATCATCCTTTCCGAGAATACGTGTCCATTTTCGTTTCCATCACAGTTAAGTATGGATGACTTTCGAAGAATTGCTAGTCGATGTAACATGATAAAGGAGTCCATTACATGACCGACGCAGATGACGACCAATGTGCGGAGGAGGATGGATATAGGAAGAATGGAAGAGGATGGCAATATCGATTGTCTCCCCCTCTGCTTTTTTCTAGAACAATCAAATGGAAGCATGCTCTTTATCCAATCATTCATCAGAAAATTATGAGGTTTGTTGCACAGAGCATCAAAACATTCTTTTTGGAAGACAAAGCTCAAACGATCATCATAAGACGAGGGAGCATAATGGCTCCGATCGATAACGATGACCAATCTTCATGATTTTGTTGAAATCCCAGGTATTGTAGAGCATTTAAACTTGTTGTCGTAATTGTGAAATTCTGATCCCATGTGTTTCAATCTTCGAGATCTGTCTTTCAATTTTGATACCCAGGTAAAAGATGTATGATTGCATTTGGCATTGTCATGGTTCCTAGATTGTGATATCCCTGCTATACTGGTTTCTTGGTTCATGTGGTTTACTAGTATTTCGGTTAATATGGTTAGAGGGCACTTATTTATGATTGAATGTTTTGGAATGCTGAATCTGCAAGATCTTTCATTCTTGTGTCGGTTTTGAAGGTTTATTACTGTAACAGCCCAAGCCTATCGCTAACAGGTTTTGTCTGTTTTGGTTTGTTACGTATCGCCGTCAGCCTCAAAGTTTTAAAACGCGTCTACTAGGGAGAGGTTTCTTCACCCTTATAAAGAATATTTCGTTAGATCTCACAATTACGTTCTTTTTTCGGTTGAATGAGATATAAAATACAAATTTGGACTCATCTTCTCTAAACGATCTCTCTGCTTTTTCGATACCGTAACGATCATTTGGCTTATAGTGGTTAGCTTTGACCATACTTTAGACATGGATTTATAGGAATTGTGGATACTTTCGAAACTGTAGCATTGAGTCTTCTGTGGAACCATATTTGACTATTTACGCAGGATTGCACCATTTAGAGGAAACTGGAAATGCCATCAGGAACTGGTTTTGCTAGAACTGCATTATTACGTTTAACATTCATTTTTCACTTTAAAACCTTAAATTTAAATATTTTTTTACAAGTTCATATTAATTAAACTTAGACCCTCTATTACAATTTTGTTTTAAAATTGTTAAACGCACAACTTTTCTACACGCGTGTGAGATTTCTTTAAATATAAAAATCGATATAAATCTTTCCCTATTACTTTCTACTTGTTTAGAAATAATTACGTTAATCGGAATAGCTATAAAATTTCGATCAATTCACATATGAAATTTTAGGAATTTTAAGGTTCTGAGTTGAACATAGTTATTAGTTTCGAATTTTAATTGATCAGGCAAAAAATTAGTTCTACCCTCTTCAAATCACTGACCAAAGCTAAACAATCTAACTCAATCCAAAGCTAGGTGAAGATCAACTTCAATGACATCCACATTTCCTCCGGTAATATTTCTTTGCCAAACAACCCTATTTTTCAAATACAATAAAGTCTCTCCATGCCCGACGGATAAGGTGAAAACATTCATTTAAAATAATTCATAAAAGGTGTCATGGATTATATAACGTTTGTAGTAGAATTTTCGAAAAAAAACAATAAAGCAAAAAAACCATAACGTGAAATTTTAAATAAATAAGAAAATTAAACAATGTCTTGAGCTAACTTAAGGACTATAAAATAGACATAAATATGACTACCCTAATACCGATTTTATGACTTTCATTGTGACACTGTCATTGTACATTAATGTCTTACCTTTACTTGGTAAATAAAAGTGGCATGTGATTTGAGTATTTTAAGAAATAGTCACTGAGTAGCCCCATTTTTGGAGTTGGAAAATACAAACATATGCAATACGGTGGGATCTATCATTTTAAAAACATCATAGCATGCCCTCAGGCGGCTTTCCGATTAGAGACAGTGTTAGATGTATAGTATTTCTTTATAACACGGTTCACGTATGCGTACATAGAAAATTGACTTACCGAAATGGCCTCGAAACGATAACATTACTTCTTGTGTGGCTTAAGTCTGTGCAATACTGGGGACGAACAATGTACATGCCCTTTTTCTTTTCTTTTTATAATTATTATATTTTTAATCTTTGTTGATTGTTACATGTAGGGTCGTTCTATTCTTGCTCGTTAACAACATTCAATTAAATATCTACAATTTTTCCCGTATGATATTCTAATATGTTCGAAGGCGTCTGGTGTGACTTATTGTAAGCGACACTCATCCCAAAAAAATTTCTCGTATGGTATCTCAATCATGGTGTGACCTATCATTTCATAAAAATATCATAGCCTTAAACTCTACTTTTTAGTCCATACAAAATTGGATGTGTAATACTTCTATACACACAGCACACGCATGCACACGTAGACCCACCAAGCGGGTTTGTATACGTATCCTTGGGACTAGCCTCCAACTAACGCACACTCACATTGTCAAAGCCACCGAGGGAAAGGAGCCCACATAGTATCATGACACACATAAATATTGTATTGTCACGTCCATACTCATCATAACGGAGAAATATCCCAATGCACATAATATACATAATGCTTGAGGTCCTATAATATCAAATCATGGCATATACTAATGATGCAAATCATATCTTCATTCTTTTCATGACATAGCATTTCTACGATACATGCATACGTATAATGAACAATCTTTCATGGTTAACATACATGACATATTGTTAGCATGACTTATCAATGTCCCTTTTCAATCTCCATTCCCACTAAATTTTTCATTTATTTTTGTCAAGATCGAGGTTGAGATTCCCCATGAAAAACTTGTAGGGATCCGATTTCCACCGAGAATTTTCTCCATCTTTTTGTATATTTTTCAAATATATATATATATATATATTTTAATTCCTATTTTTCAATATAATTTCTATTAAAAAAAATAAACCACCCTTATAAACTCAATAATATTTCTTAATTAAAAATATAATATAATATTCAATATAATTTCTAAAAACTCAAATTTTAATTTTATACACGTAAATATATATATTTGGTGAGGTTGGAACATAGATCGAGATAGGGAATAAGTCTCTCTTTAATCATGTACCATAGGATAACTTTCACACCATTTAGGTGCGGTGGATTAAGCAAACATTCTCACATACAAGCGATCGCTAAGCAATAATCGTATTGAATATCTAGAAACAAATATCTCAGATCTACCCTCCACCCATTATACAAATCATAATCTTAAACAAAATCAAGTATAAACAGCTGGTTTCTTCGAATCCTTCAAACAGAAGTGAGAAGACGAGCATCGAATTTACCTCGGCAGCATTCTTGCAAGATCAAGCTGCCTAAATCATCACATAAACTGAGGTCAGCCATAGCCATGAGCTCCTTCAGCTGGTTTCGAGTCATCACTACTTTGATCCTTAAAGGCCTCGAACAGCTTCTCAGTCCTTCGTGGCCTTCAATTGGGTGTATCACTCTTCTCTTTCCAATCCAATTCCCCATCTTCTTTGCCTCTCTCTCTCTGCTTCTCTTCTTAATTGGCGTTTGGAAACTCTCTCATAGAACACCAAAAGCTGAAGGGGATATTATCTCCATTATTTTCAGCATTAAAGATGGCAGTTGAAACTTAATTGTTCTAAGCTTTAAATTGGAGTCCCCATGACATTCAATGCATTTAATTCATTGGGTTTGTAGTTAGCAACTTAATCATCTTATGTAATTCAATTTGGGTCGGAAAAGTCCGGATGAGTTTCAACGATTACAAATGATACCAGAGTCAGGTTCCAACTGATGTGCCAATGAGGAAGCTGAGTCTCAAAGGGGGTGGACACGAAGTCGTGTGCAAGCAAACACGTTAGTCCATGAATGGGGTGAATTAGGGGGTCCCACATCAATTGGAGAATGGGACGAGTGTCAGCGAAGAGGATATTTATGAGTGAGTGTGGAAACCTCTACCTAAGAAGAGAAAAGTCCTAATAGGGTATTTATATCCATTCATGTCCATTTATCTTCAATTTAGTTTCCAACCCCTATGTAATATTCAACCTATCCGCTTCTCCCGAGTCTCGTTGATTCGATCTGATCTTAAATGTTTCAATTTAGTCATGGATCCAATTTTATTATGGTCTTAATTATAGCGGTAAACATTTTAATTCAGTCTCAATTGAACACATTTTCTATTTTTTCGACCAAGGGGTCTATATAGTTGTAGATGCTAAGTACTATCTCTAGCAATTTGCAAGATTAGTAAAGATTGTGGAAGGTTTAATTTATGCTTGGTAGCGGCGTTCATTGGTTGGGTTGGGACATTTTTCAGACCCAATCTAATTGTTTAAGTTGTAAAGTTTTTCAACTTAAATAACTCTGGTTAAATAATAAACCTAACTCGACCCAACTATAATTTTTTTTAGTTGAGTTGCTTTTGTTCAAACATTTAATTAAATTTTGTAATTCAATTTTAAAATATATTTTGAAAAATTATCTTCTAAATCGTTAAAAAAAATAATTTTTAAAAATAATTAGAAAATAAATAACAAAAAAAATATGAAATTAAATAAATAATGTATTATTGTATAACAAGCAAAAATATATATATATATATATTTCATAATTAACAATAAATTCGGGTCGGTTTAATTCAAGCAGGGAATTCATGAACAACTCATTCATAAAATTTTCATTTATTTATTTGAGCTAAACTCCCTTCTCTTTTGATTATTTTTTTCTTTTAGTGTATTTATTTAATTTAATCGTGCAACGTTAATGATCTTGACACGCTTATAACAAATTTTAAGGAAAACTCAAGTTCTATATACATTTTTTCATTCTCCACTTCACTTTGTAGCTTCGTTGGATCTTAGACGAGATTTATTTTTGTCAACAAAACATAATTCATTTGAAATTTAAGTTTGTTCGGCCACACACGCTGCTCGTGCATGCATCTTCAATTGTCTGCAACCTTAATCGACTTTGCTGTATACTAGGCTAAATCATTTGACTCGACCTTACTCCTGTAAAGTCACACATGGACTAATTTAAGGAATATTCATGAGTTTATAATCAAGAAAGAAATAGTATCTACATTTGATACGAGACCTTTTGAGAAATCACAAAGTGTTGGATGAAGGCCTCACAGACTAATTTAGGATATGACAGTAGGTTTATAGTTAAGAATATCATTTCCTTATAAATTGAGTTAATAATATTTTTTTCTTTTTTTTAAAAAAAAACCCTATCCCCTCTTTTCTTCTGCCCTTAGGTTTATCTTCAGTCGCTACCCATTTTCGCAGAAATCCATCACCAGCCCGTCTCCTTCTTCGACGTTAGCAGCTGGTCCTCCGACCAGTGATCCAGCCGCCGGCGACGAACTCGAGAAGTTTTCTTCTCTGGCGCGAGCACCTATCACGAGCCGCGACGCACAGGTCAGCAGTTGGTCCTTCGACGAACGCACGTCCACTGATTTCTCTTCCCAGGTGACATTCGGAAGCAACCCACAACCCGAATGCCTCAAATCGGATTCCCCATAACCTGTAAAAGTGAGATTTAGTTCGAACCTGTTCGAACACATTCCAGCAAAGACTAAAGCCTTGGATAGTGGGTGGGCTCTTTACGAGTTTACTAAGTGTATTAATTCTGATTCTAACTATTGGAAGTTTTTTGTATATAGGTTCGGACTGCTCGATTCAAGTTTAAGGTTGACATTGGGTAAGAAATAGCTGTCGATTAAGGTTTAAAACGGAACTTTAACCTTGAAATCTTGTCTACAATTTCTTATAGTAGCGCTTTATAACGTAAGGTAGTTCTTACTTGTGAAGTCTGTTCCTTGTTATTTTTATGATCTATAAAATTTAATTTATATGCGATTATAAACTGTTTTGGGTTCTGGTAAGTATAATTATGCTGTGTTGTTGAGTTACATCCTTGTGATGATGGATATGTTGGATGTTGAAATTTTCTGAAATTATATGATAGTATGATGCTTATGTCGGAATCTGGTTCATGTTGTTAATTTTCAGAAATATGGCTCCGAAAGCATGTTAGAATGTGCATACATGGGAATTTGTGAGACTGATTGGTGAGGGAGGGTTAGAAGACCTTAAAAGTGAGGACAGTGTCTGGGCTTTGGATATAAATGGTGGACGGTTGGTATTGTGTTATGGAAAGTAAGTGAATATCAGGCCTCAAGTATGAATGGTTAAGGATTGGTGTGTCACTATTGGGTGTCAAGGCCTGTAGTATATATGGTCGGGAGTCAACATGCCAATATTGGATAAGAGAAGTATCAAGGCCTTGGGTATAAATGCTCAAGAGCCGGTGTGATGAGCTTTTATACAAGCATTGGGGCCTTGGGTGTAAATGGTTGAGGGTTGAACGTTGCGTTTTGTAGAGAAGGGTTGAGGATTTTGGTATAAATGATCAGGAGTCAATGTGTCTTGCAAGAGTAAATCTCAAAGATGTGGAAAAGATTGAATGGAGTTAGAAAGAGCTAGAAAGAGCTATGAGAACTCAGTGATGTTCGAGAGTTTGTTAGAACTTGAGTTCGAGGATAGGCGTGCACGACATGAATATTGTGGATGATATGATTATGATTCATGAGCTGAATATGTCACATATATTTACTTGTTTTCATATTTGTTGTGAGAGCATGATGTGATGTATGTTGTATGCTGTTGGTAAAAATTGATACAACTTGCATTATAAATAGACCAATATAAATAAACCATGGGTGAAAGTATTTAAAAGTTCTTTCTCACTGAGTCAAGTATTACTATTATCAAGTTTGTTCAAGAAAGTAGAGCCATTTGTTAGATAAGAGAGTTACTAAGATGAGAATTGGGGATAAGAACTTTTCTAATCAGAACGATCCCTAGTTCATTTTTACAATGAATGTTTTCAATATCGATGTTGATGAAAATACCAAAAAAAATTGTAAATAAAGAATTCAAAAAAGAAAATTAAATTGGACTTAAGAACATAGGCATTGTTCCCTTTGTTTTTCATGCGGCTTTGTTCCTTACACTCTGCAATGATGTTGCTTAAACAGGTAACTTCGATATGATTCTCAATGGATGCACCACACCCACTGGCTTCTTCTTCTCAAATTCCAGGTTGTCTATCCCTAACCGTTCAGCGATCTCACGTAGTTCTGATTGCAGTATGCATGCTGCTGCTAGCATTAGAAGTTCAAGGGAACCTCATTTAGAGCATCAAACATGTCGCTATAGAGGTGCATACGAAGCCTTTCACAATCTTTATTCATCTTTTATTTGATCTTTTTATTGAAACAACTATAACTGGTGGAGACGTAAATGTAAAGAAATTACTGTCTGACTTTTGTGACAATTGCTTCTTGAAGTAATCCATTATTTTTCAAATGTAGGTGTCTTTCCCTTAAAACTAGGTGCTGGATCTTCCCATTTCTTAAGCGGGGATCTAGGTGGCTTGCTACATACAATCCCAAGGTTACCAAGGAAAAGAAATGTTAGCATGACACCACGGGCAGCCAAAGATATCCCTACGAGTTATCGTTTCCCTCCGATGACCACTAAACCAAAATGGTGGTGGAGGACATTGGCATGCTTACCCTATCTAATGCCCTTTCACGAAACTTGGATGTACTCTGAAACCGCGTACCACCTACACCCGTTCCTGGAGGACTTCGAATTCTTGACATATCCATTTCTCGAAGCCCTTGGACAACTACCAACTTGGTTCTTGATTGCATATTTCTTTATTGCCTATCTAGGAATTGTAAGACGTAAGGAATGGCCACACTTCTTTAGATTTCACGTAGTCATGGGCATGTTGTTGGAGATTGCCCTGCAAGTGATTGGTACAGTGAGCCGTTGGATGCCCCTTGCAGTCTATTGGGGTAAAGTAGGGATGCACTTTTGGACAGCCGTATCGTTTGCTTACCTATTCACGGTTTTGGAAGCCGTTCGCTGTGCCCTTGCAGGCATGTATGCTGATATCCCTTTCTTCTGTGATGCAGCCTACATCCAAATTCCATACGATTAAGAACTCTTCGGTTTATAGTCTCGGTGCGAGTAGACTGTGATATGGACATGTACTTTTGTTACTGCCCTTGTAAAGTGCAGTCGGAAATGAACTTCAAACATTCTGAACTCTATTTGCATTTTGTTGATGAGCTTGTGGGAGAAGTAAAGATGGAAATTTATCCTTGCCGCCTTTTGAGGGTAAGTCTCTTCACTGCTTTATTGTTTGTTTCTTCTCTTAGACTCGTTGCCTTTGCTCTTTAACATTCACCTTATACATTTTTTGGTTCTTTTTCCAGCTTAGTTTTTCATGTTCGTTACAGTATTGCTATATTCAGTGACACATCTTTTAGTTGAGGTGTAGTTTGGTGTAGATTGGTCGGGTTCGTCTAGTCGTAGTGACACTCGGATTGATTATGCTAGTTCGAATACAATAATGTTGGTCAAAGAATTGCCGAGATATTGAAATGATCAACCTTCGTAAATTGGTTATGCTGAAACGTCCATTCAAATAAAAAAAAACAAGCAGCCAAGGTGATGGGATTGGTTTGAGTTTATATTGAATAAAATTAGTTTGATCTTTTCATTTCATAAGCAACCTTCGGGTCGATTCCGTTATTTGAATTTTTGTTTGGCTCAAGAGTTTTTTTCTTTTTTTTCGTGTTTTCTTAGTTTAATGAGTGAGCGATCGAACCATGAACGTTATAGATACCATTGGTGTCTTATCAATTGAGTTAGGTTGTCGTTTGAAAAATTACTCTTTTTAAGAAATTTTTTGGGTGCATTTTACAGTATAATTTTATTAAAAATTTTAAATAAAAATAAAAATTTAATATAGTGTTTGCAAACAAAAATAATATTTTGCTAATATAATTTCTAAAAAAATTAAAATTAAATTTTAATATTATAATATATTCTTCCCACAAAAAAAATTCTACATGGTTTTAATTTGAATTTGACTATCATCATCTAAAAACTTTAAATTTTGTAATATAGTAACATATAAGCAGTAATATTACACAAACTTTAAAGTATAATAACTTGAAATAAAATGATTGCCGGGAAGAAGATAATATAAAAAATAAAAATAAAAAATACTTTTTCTTATACGTAAAAAAGCGGGGATGATGTGGGTCAGGGAATTGGATAATCTTCGGTCCCATTTATTTAATGGGGAGAAATCTCTCCTCACTCCCTCCCTATTCTCAATTTAAATTAAGATTTTCGACCACATTTGAAGATAGAGCCTATAACATCCCAAGTTCACTAGTGACAAATTTTGTTCTCTTTTTTGCATTTCCATTTCAGGCTTCCCGTTTTAAAACATGTCGGGAGGTTTCTACACCCTTGTAAGGAAATCTTAATTTTCCAACGAAAACATTTTTGTTAACATGTTTGTTGAATTCTTTACCCCTTCTATCTTCTCCAAACACATATTACCTTCTTCAACGGATTTGCGAGAGTGAAATGATATTGTTTTTTTTTATGTGCTTTGACTTTGAATAATAGATTGAGTTTTTCACCAACTATATGACACTCAGATTGTCTGTATAAAGAATCTTTTCGCATCGTGTCTAGATCTTCTAGATAATCTGTTGTCTATATCATTTTCTTTTCGGGTTCAACCATTGCCAGATACTCACCCTCAATAGATGAAAGATAGTCTCAATAGATGAAAGAACAAAATAATTTTGAAGCATAGACATCTAACTCATTGTTATTTCATTTATAGTATAGATGTATCGGGATGTGCTCTTGCAAAAATATACATCTCCACTAAGATCAACATCCACAAAACTTTGCGTAACTATTTTTGTCATTTTTATAACAAAGTGAAGTACAAGATGTGTCTCTCAGATATCTCTGAAGTCAGTTCACAGCTTCCCAATTTTCTTTCCCGAGTTTTCCATGTACCTGCAAACAATTCTCACTACATATGTTATATCAAGTCTAGTGTAGACCATAACATACATCAAACTCCTAATTGCATAAACATATGGAACTAATGTCATGTGGTCACGTTCTCAACTATCTTGGGATGACAAAGAGCCGCCTTGGATTGAGCATCATTCATCATGAATTTAGACAACATCTTATTTATGTACTACTTTTGAGATAGATTTAATGTATCAAGACATCTTTGCCTTCAGATAGTTTGTCTCCCTCGTACTGGATACTACAATTAATATATCATCTGCATACAAGAATAGAAACACATAAAATCAATGTATTTATTGAAGTAGAAACACTGATCCTTTTCACTCCAGTGAAAACCACTATTGCTCGTGAAGAAGTCAAACTTCTTGTACTACTATCTTGGTTCTTTTTTCATTCCATATAAGCTCCTATTTGAATTTGCACATCAGGTATTCCTATCTGGAACTACAAACTCTTTCGATTGATGCATATAAATCTCCTTTATCTGTATCTCCATGTAAAAGCAGCTGCTCAAGGTGTAAATTCTCTAATGCAACAATATTTCATAGAATGAAAATAATTTAACTATTAATCGAGCCTTGAACCTCTTTTTGTTTTTGTCGTTGGCTTCAACCTTGATTCTAAGCGTGCACTCATTCAACAAAACTCTCTTTCGTGTATGTAACTCAATCAACACCCACATGTTATTCAGTTCAAGTGAATTCATCTCATCATATAGACTTTGTTAAATTCTCTACTTGTAGGGCCTTTTAAAAAAAAAAAAAACTCTAGTTTCTCTTCATCAGTCAGCAACAGATAATATAATGAAGGCGAATACCTATTTAGTACTTGATGGTTCTGGATGATTTTCTCAACACCTGCTTAGGTGTTATTTGCTAAACTTCTAGTTCCTCAGCTAGAAATGCCACATATATCCAACTCACCGAAGTTTCATAGTCGAACTTCCTTTCTTTGCTACCTCGTCCCTGAAAAATGGTCATCCTCTTCCACACCATGAGGCAACATGATCTAGTATCCATACAAACGGAGTTTATGGTTCTCAACATGGAATTTCAAACATTCACAACACAACATAATTTATTATCTTCTACTAGACATATCTAATGGTGACGAGGTGCTTCCCGTAAAGAATATATAAATACTTCAAGTTTGTACGAGGTGCTTCCCGTAAAGAATATATAAATACTTCAAGTTTGTATGGTAAGTTAGTCTACAATTGAAACATAACTAAAGGCACACTAAACAATCTATGGGTTTTTCAGTGGAAGCCATAATTTGTACTTGTGTCTCTTGCCTGTATTTAATCTGTAATTAACCTCGCTATTAAGGTTAAAAAATACAAACACATAAAACCATGGTTTCTTTTTTAAAATGACCTAAAATCATGTCTATTATCCTAACTTCTATTTCATTTTCGAATGGACATGGATGCATAGTACATCTCGACACGTGGTCCACGCACATAACGTAAACTTATTAGGTGAATACCCAATTTTTTGTAGACCCTAGGTTTCCAAATAGGCTTGTGAACTCTCTGTGAGATCCCACATCAGTTGGAAAGGAGAATGAAACACGTTTTATAAGGATGTGAAAACCTTTTCCTAGCAGACGTGTTTTAAAACCCTTGAAAGAAAGTCTGAAAAGGAAAATATTTGCTAGTAGTGGGCTTGGGTCGTTACACTCTGACATAGTTGAACTAAAGGACGAAATAGAACATGAAATCATTTTATAAGTACTCGTCCTTACCAAAACTAATCTATGTTCAGTGTACACATAGTGTCACGATCATGCTCGTCCAAGGCGTGTTGCCCATGGCCGCATGCCCATGACAAGCCAAACCCTTTATGTCTTTTCATGTTGTAGTATTTTAGTTTTGTATTTCTCGGAAGTATGATGTTTTGGAAAAATTATGTCTAGGCTTGCCAGACATAAAATGCCTCAAAATGTACTATAGGGGATATGACTAGTTGTCAACTTCTCTCTACCCGATAGTTATGATAGCCATTGTTGTTGCCTTTTGCTTACATTTCCATATAACACCACAAATCTTGCTTTCAAAACTCTCTTTCAAAATCTCTCTGCCCCTGTTTTCTAAAACCTTCTTCTTGAACTGGGGCCAGAGGCTTGAATAAACGTCGCTTGGTTGTAGATGACGCCATAACGAATAGATTTAACTCACTTGTTACTGAGAAATGAGTGTCGTACAATCGCAAGTCCACTGCCATCAAAAATGCGATTGTGACACATAACATGCATGAAGGATTTCATAGCAGAGTGCATACAATAATTCCATAATATCATGACATATATTCTCTACACGACTAACATGTATACTCATAGCATTTAAGTCATATACATTTTAATTCCTCTCATCTCAATAGTCATAAAAATTTCATATATGGAAGCGGTTAGGATTAGGTTTGATTCAGTTATTTGGATTAGATTTGATTTAGTTATACCAGATTTGGTTGGATTTGATTGTGCAAAGATATATATAATAGCCAATTTCATTCTTTAATTAGATGAGAGATTTCTGTCTCCATTCCTAACATTTGGTATCAGAGCCACAAGTTGAACCTGAAAAAGAAATACACGAGTGTTTGAGAGGAAAAACACTGGAAAAAATTAGGAAGCTTTGCTACACATGTGTTCCTAAATTCGATGGAGACTACAAGCATTGGAGTTTAATCATGGAAAATCTCTTATGAGCATTAGAGTTTGGCCATGGAAAATCTCTTGCGTTCCAAGGAATATTGGAGTGCTACTCAATCTGGTTTCGAGGAACCAAAAGAAAACGAAGCACTAAGCGTAGTCCAACAAAAGGAAATAAATGAAGCAAGGCTCAAAGATCTCAGAGCAAAGAATTATCTCTTTCAATCCATTGATAAGAGTATTTGAAAACTATCCTTCCAAAGGATACTTCCAAGCAATTGTGGGATTCAATGAAACTCAAGTATCAAGAAAATGCTAAAGTGAAGTGAGCCCAGCTACAACGACTTCGCAGAACATTCGAAACTTTAGAGATGAAGGCAAGAGAAGGCATTTGGTTTCTCGATTTCGGGTGCTCAAATCATATGACAAGGGACAAAACATGTGATATGAACAAAGAGACATCATTCATACAATATACTTCAATGAAGATGTGAAAAAAATGTTGTCAAAATTATCAAAAGAGGTTGCAATTCATGTCACATTGAAGAGGAATGAAGTTTGATGGTTATAAATTTTGAGTGGGTTACAATTTAGAGTAATTTAGAGTTATTGTATTTTAAGACGTTTTATTT